ACATAACCTACTGTAAGTATTAATTACTTTTGTTTACAGTAACACCACTTATCCATGTTTTGAAGCTGTTCTTAATTGTTTGGGTGGTTTATGAGGTGCATGTTCAGGCTGTTATAAATTATTAGTTTTTTTTTTTTTTTTTTTTTTTTTTTTTTTATTATTATTATTTTTAAGTAGTGTTATTTGTAGTTTACGTTTACTGCCCTACCCTGCTTATCTTAAGTGTTTATTTACTGTAAGATGGATTTTGTTTCTTTTGTTCTACTAGAGTTGTTATGCTTGTACTTTTCCCTCTGTTCCTTGCAATGTCAATGCTGTGTTAGATAACATTTCTTGATTATAGATTCTGTTAGTATGACTCCTTTAGGCCTACCTTATTTCAATGGCTTACTTCCTCACCTATTTGCCAATTATAACCTTAGCTACCTACCTTTTGATAATGTCCATTGCCCCTGGAAACAGGTTATGGAGCCAGTTTCGCGCAAAATTTCGATCTCTTATCAGTGCCTCCTAAGGCAGGTTATAGAGTACCTGGAGTTCATAGCTCCTATATACAACTTAGTTGATGTGCCTGGAAATGCAATGAGCTTGTCTGTGGCCACAGATGATGGCTTACCGCCTTATATCTTCATAGGTGGTAGTGCTGTATCTGTTGATGCATCCCGTGAACGGGCAACAGAGGCAGTTCGGCTGTTGAGGGCAGATGATATGACGTCAGAGCTTATTGCTAAACTTGACAAGTGTGCGTTCTTATACGACATGAAGCGCTTAGGATCAGAGTTTATGGGAAGGCCTTTGGACAAGAATCCAATTAAGTGGCTTGCTTTGCCTATTGAAATGAAGGGTGACAAATACATTTGCATTGATTATGTAGATGTGCTGAATGTACTTGCTATTGAAACAAAGGCTCAGGTTCCTGTGGTTGAGGTTGCTGAACTTGCTGCTGATAAGTGGGTGTCCTGGGTTACAGTCCACACCCCATCTTTGTCTTCTAGTATGGAGTGTATTTTCAGCTCACTGGTTAGCAGTTCCATGGTTGCTAAGTAAGATGTAGCAAATAGGGCTGTGAAGTTCCTGCGTGTCTTATACAGTCTTGATGTTATGGACTTGAATTATGGGAAAGGAGTTTACTCTGGTATCAAGTGTCCCTTGGCTAGAGAAATTTACATGGCAGCTCGGGAACGTGTGTTATGCAAGCAAGGAGATCTGCATTTGGCTCCTTTTCTTGGAGACAGTGATTGCCTCACACTCATGTTTGGCCACACGAAGATTCCCACTCCTGCTTTACCTCCAATTGCATCACAGAAACCTAAAGCTCGCCCATCCTTTGGTGCACGTCCTGCTGGACGCCCTATTTCTGCTCTAGTTGACCTAGAAACTGTCTTTAAGAGTAGGAAGACTTAATAGGGCTTAATCTTAGATAAGCTGGGATACAGTTAGGTAGTAATATTTATGTACTCTTAAGTTTAAGCTGTGCCCTTTAAGCTTAGTCTTTTGTTTTATGGCTTGGTTGTTCTTTTGAGTGCTTAGATTTATATTGAAGCAATTTGCATTGCCATGGTTTTTATGTAGCCAACAAATGTTTGTGCGATGTACTCTCGTTCTATTTGGTGAAATAAATGAATCTTTGGCTTCCTGTTTATTATTCTAGAGGTCTTCATATGCTTCCTATTATTTTTCTATAGACTAAGACTTCTTATTATCATAGTAATTTGCTTTATCTACTGGGACATTGTATTGCAATCACATCTGCAACATACGGGCTGGTTGAAAAGACAACTCTTGCTCACGAGGAAGTGGCCTATAATAGGGTTATACAACATTAACAAGGGAAAAACCCAAAAAAAAAAATTGAAGGGGGGGGGGGTGTTAGATTACATGTGGGTTGATGGTGGTGAACCTCACTAATTATAGTTACAAACTTTGTAGATCGCCGCTCGCTTTATGAGAACCTGTGAGGACCCGTGCTAGCAAGCGGTCTAGAGCTTTGGATGCACTTGTTGAGCCTGTATCAGTCAGGTCTTTGTGTATGCCTTTGCCATGTTATTTGCAGGGAAACTTATTCATTTACAACAACTTATCAATTTAAATTTTGTTTGTGTAGTGAAGTAGGAGAAAGCAGTGCACAGGGTACAAGGCGAAATGCTGCCCCTCCAAAAAAAACCAAGAAGAAGCGTGCCAAGAAAACAACAGTGAAGAAAAAAAGTATGCATGTTGAAATTTAATTCCATTTGTTCATTGTATATGCTAATAGTAAGCCGCTGCTACTAATTTATTGTCTGTGGCATAACAGATGTGCCAGCTGCTGATATTGGTCAGCCCCTGCCAGCTGCACCTTTAAAAATGGATGCACCTCATTATTGCTTAAAAAGTCAGGCAAAGAAATTTGAATATGAAACCTTCCATTTCTGTTGTGGTGATGGAGGTGTTACAATAGCAAATAATGAATACCCACCTGAGCTTGTGCGATTATTTACTTCCTAAGAAGAGGGTGCATTTGATTTTCGGCAATATGCTTGTATCAGGGAGTTTTGGATACAGTAGAAGGGGGGCAGGAAGTGCTAAGAATATTGGGCGCCAAGTAATTTTTCCACCAACTTTTATTCGTGGGCCTCGTGACATGAAGAAGAGGTATTTGAATGCAATGGCTCTTGTACAATGCTTTGGGAAGCTCGATCTATTTGTTACTATGACATGCAATCCTAATTGGCCAGAGATAACTACAGAGCTAGCCGAAGGGAAAACTGCTCAGAACCGCCCAGACATAGTTGCTCGAATCTTTAGGTCTAAACTAATCAGCTTAAAAAAAACAGATCATGAAAAAGCAAGTCTTTGGGGAAGTGGATGCTATGGTATACGTAGTCGAGTTTCAGAAGAGAGGGTTACCTCATGCTCATTTTCTCATCATATTAACAGATAAGTACAAAATCGAGGGACCTTCAGATTATGACCGGTTTGTTTGTGCAGAATTACCCTCTGTAAAGTGCCCACAACTCTGCAAGATTATCTTACAGCATATGATGCATGGTCTGTGTGGTCATCTCAACCCTCAGTGTGCATGCATGAAAAAAGTCCAGAGAAAATCAGGATGGCTGCAAATATGGGTACCCTAAATCCTTTGTGGAAGAAACTACCAACAATGCAGATGGATATCCATTGTGTATGAGAAGACATACTGGGGAGAAGGTCCGAATTCGAGGTGCTGTTTTTGATAACCGCTGGGTTATTCCTTATAATCCATACCTAACGTTGCTCTTTGACTGCCATATAAATGTAGAAGTTTGTTCTACAATTAAGGCTGTCAAATACCTGTACAAGTATGTTTATAAAGGACATGACCGGGTCTCATTCAACGTGGTTAGAGAGGATAATGAGGTAGTTGATGAAATTGAATAGTTTCAAGTTGGCTGTTCGCATGGAGGATTTTTAGATTTGATCTTTTTGAAACATATCCTCCTGTACAGCTTCTTCCAGTACACTTGGAAAACATGGAGACTATACATTTGCATGAGAATGAAAGGCTTGACTTAATTGCTCATTTAGAAAAGCGCTCTAAAACTCCTCTCACAGAATTTTTTACAATGAATGCATCACGTCCTGATGGTACTGGTCTAACTTATCCTGAGATGGTTGAGCATTACTGGCGGAATGGTGGCAAGAAAGTCTGGATTAAAAGGAAGAATACGAAAACTGTTGTTGGTCGATTAGCTTTTGTTGTGCCAGGGGAAGGGGAGCGTTTTTTCCTTCAAATGTTATTGGCCAGAGTTCCCAACCCTACCTCATATCAGTATCTCATGATAGTTAATGGTGAACTGCAGAATAGCTTCCAACAAGCAGCCATTAAGCGAGGCCTTTTCGAGGAAGATAATGTTGTAGTTTTGTGTTTAGTTGAAGCAGCAGAAGTGCAAATGCTAAAAGCTATGCGGAGGCTTTTTGCAACAGTCCTTATATTTTGCCAACCAAGCAATCCTAATGCTCTTTGGCTTTGGTTTTATAATTCGTTGTCTAAGGATTTTAGGAATGACAATTGCAATAACCAAGACAAAGTGAGGAAATTAATTGTGAGATCAGTTCAACATCGTTTGGAAGCAATGAAAAAATCACTAGAAAACTTTCGCCTAGGGTACTTACTTGAAGGCACTGATTCTGGTTTAGCCAGGATTAAAGATATCATTGATGCACTTGAGGCGCCTATTCCTCCTGAGTGTATTGGGTGCCGTGAAATGCTGAATTTAGCTCAAAAGGCAGCTTTTGACACAATCATTTCTCATGTACATGCTAACAAGGGTGGATATTTTTTTGTTGATGGTCCGGGTGGGATCGGGAAGACTTTCCTTTACAATGCTCTGTATGTTATTGTGCGGTTAACTGGGAAGATCGTGCTCCCAACAGCGACATCTGGAATCGCCGCTTCCAATATACCTTCTGGAAGAACAACGCATTCCAGGTTTAAAATCCCTCTTGATTCAGAGACTTCCCTGATATGTGATGTTCCTAAGCAGGGAAGTCTTGCTGCATTGTTAAGAGAGGCTGCATTGATTATTTGGGATGAAGCTTCGATGGCGCGTAGGGAAAATATAGAATCTTTGGATCTTCTACTTTGTGATGTTTGTAACCTTGAACGACCTATTGGAGGTAAGGTTATTGTTTTTGGGGGAGATTTTAGGCAAATCTTGCCAATTGTTCCTCATCGATCTTAACGAGAAGCTGTTGCTGCAAGTTTAGTGAGCTCATATGTATGGCCTTTGTTGACCAAATTTTGATTAGCAGAAAACATCAGGGCTAGAGAAGATCTTCCATATTCAATGTTCTTACTTGCATTAGGAAATGGCCAGCTGCAAACAAATGAAAATGCTTTTGTACAGCTCCCACCACACATAGTGAGGCATTACAATGAATATGATAATCCTATACCTGCTTTAAGTACTGCTATTTTCCCTGAAATGAGTGGTTCATAGTTTGATGGTAGCATTTTCACTGAAAGAGCAATCCTAACACCAATGAAGGAAGATGTGGACGCGATAAATGAATTTTTGATTGAAAAGTTCCCAAGGGAATATGTTGTTTATAAAAGTTATGATAGCATCCTTGATGATAATTGTATTTTGTACCCTACTGAATTCTTGAACACACTTTGCTCTGGGGGAATGAGTCCGCATGAACTTGTTTTAAAAGAAAATAGTCCTGTTATTCTCTTACGTAATATTGATCCATTCGTAGGCCTATATAATGGCACTAGGCTCACATGTAAACGATTCTTCCGTAATGTCATTCAATGTGTGATAGCAATTGGACATTACCAAGGAGTCCATGTACTCATACCAAGAGTTAAGCTGCGGCCTTCAGCTTCTTCAAATTACCCCTTCCAATTTGAAAGAAAGTAGTTCCCTATCAATCTCAACTTTGCTATGACAATTAATAAATCAAAGGGGCAAACTTTAAGCCAAGTTGTGATTTATCTCCTACACCCTTGCTTCTCTCATGGCCAACTCTATGTCGCTTTATCTCATGCCAAAAAGTCTGCTAAAGTGTTCGTTTATACACAAGAAATAACAACTACTTGTATCGGAGCATCTTTGAAGAATATTGTCTCATTCGATGTTTTGAAGCTAGCCAAAATCATTTAGGCCATTTCATCACGAGGTGCATATCTACATAACGTTTTTAAAATAGCATGTGCTAAGTTTAGTACTAACTATTAGCTTCCCACATGTCTTATTTTGATTCTTGTAGGCACTTCAAATAGTTGGAACTGGTTTATGAATTTTAAGTTTGTCCTTTAAATCTCAGCAACATCGTATCAGCTTGGCTGGCAGAAAACTTAGAACTGAATGTTGATTATCGCTGTAACATAACCAACTTGTATTCTTGCTATTTTCAGCACGTTGAATCAAGGTATTTATACTACCAACAAATCTTATTTTTGTTCTATCTTATAGCTGTTCAAGTTGTTTTTCCCACATAATACGCAGCGGATGCCTAAACAAAGATGCCAAGCAAATTTTGCAAGCTTGTATTTGTTTCGCGGTAATTTCATCTACTTTCCGTTTTTCAAAAGAACCCTGCATCCTTACACTGATCTATTATGCTTTGATAAATGTACAATACAAATATCATCACCATCATTTGTACAGAATTTTGAATAATACAAAATGTCTTCTACTAACAAAATCTTCCAAAATCTTGCAAGATACTATGGAAATAAAGCAATGCATAAGTTACAGCATCAATCACTTTTAATTCATCTGAATTAAGCTGATTTATTGAAGATAATAGTGATTAACTCACATCTTAAAATGACAACTTGCTATGAGAAATTTTTTATCAATAGTAATGAGTTCCAATAAAATTAAAGTGCTTAGGTTAGGGTGAAGTTCTTTGGATAATAATAGTGCATCAATACCTTTTATTAACCAATGGTCTTTACACTAGAACAACCCTCTTAGATATTATCCTCTTTTTACTTTATAAATACCCTAACCTCATTAGTTTCTTTCCTTTATATAAGCCGTTGTATCTTGCATTTACTTCTATTTATTAAAACTGCATTCACCTCAAAGCATTTCGTTGGAAGCTATTCTCTAAACTATCCTGAGGTCAAGGTCAGCCTCTTACTCAGCTTGCATTTATTTCAATTTACACTTAGAGATTCCTTGTATTTAGTACTGTTTAATGTTAGTAACCTTGAATGTTCTTTATTAAATAATTTTTGCTAGGAAAACATGTAAAATTCAGTGACTGTTCTTACTCATTAAGCTGAGTAACTATGTCAGTTCCTGCATAAAATTAGCCCTTAGTTCTGTTAATCCTTTGTGACCTTGATTGTTCCATATTTAATGAATTCAATTATAGGAAAAACTGTGTTTAAGCTTTTGCTCTTAATAAGTGTTTCTAATTAGTTATTGCACACATTATGCTTTAAAATACTACTTAGTAAGTTATTTAAACACCTTCCTACATGTTGATTTGCATACTTACAGTTGACTTGAACCTACACTTAAATTTACATGTTTATTTCTAACATTATAATTTGCTGCACTTATGATGAAGCACTATAAAACACACGAATCTATCATGGCATAAATTTATATGTGTATCTATTTTGCACTATGCATTAATTAACGATAAATAAAAATACAAATTGACTCAAACAGAATTGTCATTCAAATGAGTGTTTGTCTTTCAGATGAAGCCTCAATATGTTTCTGTTAATAAACTTACTCCCAAAATCAAAGGATACAAGATTAAGGTAACTCTAAAAGAGAAGTCCTCTGCTAAAGCTCCCCCTGGGGAAAAAACATTCCAAAAGCTTGTGTTTGAAGATCATGAGGTATCACCTTTGGCATTTCATAACCTCAGCTGTAGTTATTACCTAAGTATACAAACTTTGCAGAGTATTATGTCCTAACAAACCTTTTATCTCACTTCAGGGTAATGAGATCATGGGAACTTTGTTTCAGGATGAGGTTGAGCATTTCAAGCATGTGTTAGAACATAAAAAAAGTATATTATATCCGATGCACCTGTCAGGCACATAAGTCCAATGTTTCATGACAATGAAGGCCTGTACCAGCTGTCATTTGGAGGCCAGACAGCTATCACACAAGTGGATCCTACTGCAGGCCCTGTACTGCCACTTTACACTCCAATTGCTCAGGTGCCACCCACTAGCAACAAAGATGATCAGTACGGTACAACAAATCACCTATGCTACAATTACTTTGCATTTTACATATTCTTTGTTTCTAATAAACAAGCTTTAAATTTGTTTCAGACGTCCTAGGAGTTGTGGTGCACATGGTGTTGAGTTTTGTGGTGTCCGACACCGCGAGTAAACAAAACCTGCAAAAAAAACGCATGAATAATAATTACAACTAAACAAAATAACATACAATTATTGAAAGCATAAACACATAAAGGGAAGAGAGAGAAAGTAAGGATAAGACTTGCTCACCCTTGACACGTGCTTCTCACGAACCCCGAGCACGAACACGGAAAAACTCTAGACCCGCAAGTGCAAGCCCTCCTTCGTCTCACACCCTCGCGCCCGAACGGGTCCCTACCTCGTAGCTTAGACGAGGCTAGACCAAAATAAACTAGAGTATTACGAACTTAAAGGCTTTCTCACCTTTTGGGAGATACCTTATTGAGTTCAACTCAAGTGAATAATCCCAGTACCCAAGGTGGGAATTTATAGGGAAATGCTCCCAAAAAATTCAATCAACTTTCCATGTGGGAGAGTTGTTGAAATGAGAAAATGAGTAATTAATTTACTTCCAAATTAAATTAATTTCACAAGTCAATTAGCAAACAACAAGTGGCAAGAGGAGAGGGAGGGTTAGGTGAGGACCACAAGGGGAGGACCACTCCTCCCTTGCTCCCAAAGGCAAACCTCCCACCAACCGGCCCCAATAGGAACCGACGAGCTGGCCGCCCTTCCTTGAGCAACAAGGCGTGCCAAGCTGGTAGCCCTTGTGCTCGAATGGGCCAGCCAGCTGGGCCCATGCAGCTGCCGCATTGCCAGCAAGCCTCGCACACTTGCGAGTTGCCGTGCGCGGCATGTGGACTGGCACTAGCAGCAGCTAGCGAGGCCCACCAAGCTTGCTAGCAGCTGGCCTTGCCTACACTGATAGTGTGCTAGCGCTGCTAGCTAGCCGGCCATGGCGCTATTGTCCTGCCAGCACGTGTATGTTGCTGCTGGGCTTGCGACCATGGCCTTGAGGTTGGTGGCCTTAGCTAGCCTAGCTCTCTCATGGCTAGGCCAATGCGAGGCTACGGCTTAGCGTTGACTCGTTATTTGACTAATTTCTAGTCTCGTCGATTCCTAAAATCGACTTGACGCTTGACGCTCGGCTTTGGCGTTCTAAGCTCGGAATCCGACATCTTAGTTTGTAAAATCTTTATCGACGTATTTAATCCTTGGATTAATTCGTCGCCATTGTTCGGTTACACGATTGGGTGTGACCCGAAGGGTTCAATCAAGAACAAGCTGTAATATTAATTACACATTAATATTACTGATTGGAAGCGGCCTCCAACTAGGCATTCCAATCACTTAACCTCACTGAATAATTAGATTTCCTAATTAATTTCGAACCCTCCATCGAAATAATACACTTGTTCAAAGGACACCATTTCTTTCAATCTCCCACTTGTCCTCCCGGACAAGTGTGCTATATGTGAATTGCCTTTTTCCTATGTCACTTAATGCCTCTTCATGAACTATAAGGTAAAATTCATCGTCATCCTTATTACGTCCAGAAGTGTTTCTTGATTTTCGAGTTTGAATGTCAATAAGCAGATGATTTCTAAAATCCATCTGAGCACGGCCATACATTTTCACAGTCTCGATCTTCGAGAGGCCTTGTAAACAACAAAGACATGTTCCCTACTGTTAATAGGGAGACATTCCCATTCTTACATTATTAGCTTCCTTTACTAAGAGGCCCTAGCCACCCGAGTGTTGCCTTTATAATCCCCTTGTACGACAGATGTTTGACAACATCAAAACGGACTAGTACTCAAACAAGAGAACTGACAATACCCATGGTTGGGAAAATAGGTTCTAATAGCCATAATGAGTAATATACTTATGACGATTGTTAAATCTCTTAAAATATTCTCATAGGTCGATCCGGTATAGTTCCAAACTAATATCTGTGCAAATGATTTATGTTAATCTTGTCCTTGTGGCACAAGAAGCGGTGCTATAAATCATATTACACACTAATCTCGCGCGGCCATTAGTCGTCCAACTTTCAAATGACCTCGATTAGGGATGGTTTCGATATGATATTCAATGTTCACTTAATAGGTGTTTCTTTATCCAAGAAATTGTCTTGATACCCTATTTTGAATATTCTCAAATCAAATGGACTCATTATTTAATTCTAAACCACAATTAAATAGAAATGGAATAATAATTTGCAAAAAATTAAAATTACGCCATAAATGAATAGTTTAACTTAGTGTTTTACATTAAGATCTCAAAACTTAATTAAAACACATAAACAGGGAAATTAAAGCCAGTCTCCGACATGCCTAATTCCCATTGCCTCAATGTGCTTGTTGTGTTTCACTTGAGGCAAAGATCTAGTGAGTGGATCGGCTACATTGTCGTCCGTTCCAATCTTGCAAATTCTAATTTCACCTTCGGTCTTCCATTCCCTTATCATGTGAAATCGGCTCATGACATGTTTGACTTTCTAATGTTCGCTTGGCTCCCTGGCCTAAGCAATAGCTCCAATCTTATCACAATAAAGGTTTATTGGTCCCTTTATCGAGGGCACAACACCAAGTGCACCAACAAACTTACGAATCCAAACTGCCTCTTTAGCTGCTTCTGAAGCTGCCAATTATTCGTCTTCAGTTGTAGAATATGCAGTCGTGCTTTGCTTAGCTCTCTTCTAACTGAACGCTCCTCCATTCAGGTAGAACACGTATCCTGATTGTGACTTGAAGTCGTTTATGTTAGTCTGGAAGCTTGCGTTGGTATAACCTTCAACAACTAAGTCCTTACTTCCACCATAGATCAGAAATTAATCCTTGTTTCTTTTCTAGTACTTTAGGATATTTTTTGCCGCAGTTCAATACGCCTCTCCTGGGTGTGATTGGTATTGGCTCGTAGCACTCAAGGCATACGATACATCTAGCTTTGTACATATCATGGCGTACATGATCGATCCAATAAGCGAAGCATATGGAATCTGATTCATTCTTTCTCGCTCATCAGGTGTCTTCGGACACTGTTTCTTGCTGAGAGTTATGCCATGAGACATGGGTAGGTGGTCTCTCTTGGATTCCATCATATTGAATCGGGCCAGTACCTTATCAATATAAGGGCTTTGGCTCAATCCAATCATCCTCTTAGATCTATCCCTATAGATCTTGAGGCCCAAAATATACCGTGCCTCTCCGAAGTCTTTCATTGAAAAACATTTTCCAAGCTAAGTCTTTACAGACTCTCGCATCGGAATTCTATTTCCAATGAGCAATATGTCATCGACATATAAGACAAGGAATGCGATGTCACTCCCACTGACCTTCTTGTATACACAAGACTCATCTGGATTCTTGATAAAATCAAACTTGTTGATGGCTTCATCGAATTGCAAATTCCAACTCCAGGTAGCCTGCTTTAATCCATAAATGGACTTCTTAAGTTTGCATACCTTCCCAGCATTGTTTGGATCTACAAAACCTTCGGCTATGTCATGTACACAGTTTCTTCCAAAATCCCATTAAGGAAGGTGGTTTTGACATCCATTTGCCATATTTCATAATTGTAATATGCAACAATTGCTAGGATAATCCGGATGGACTTAAGCATGGCAAAGATATGATAACCCGAAGGCAAATTCGTCATAATCAACGCCGTGAATTTGCCTGTAATTTTTTGCCACCAGTCTAGCTTTGTCTATATATACATTTCCATCTTTGTCGGTTTTCAACTTGAAAATCCATTTGCATCCGATAGGTGTATAACCTTCGAGCAAATCAACCAAGTCACAGACTTGATTCTCAAACATGGAATCTGTTTCGGGGTTTTCTGATGTCCTGCGGGAGAGTTACAATTCCGAGACTGGAACCGGACGCCTGTACCTGCAAAATAACGGAGACTCCTGAGAGCTCCGCCTCCAACGGTCAAGTTAGTACCTGATTAAGGAGTAATTAATACAAAAATTAAAGTAATGAGATCTCTCTAGGTGAGAGTGCTTAGTGTTGGTAATCTGCGTCGTTAGCGAGATTAGCCGGTTGTTAATAACTCTGTTCTTCTCTGCTTGATTTCTTGATTATTCGATCGTGTGATTAATGAGGATTAATTAAGTATTTATAGCCTTGAGAAGCGTGCAACTCTCTAGGTTTAAGGTAAACCTAGGGCTGATCGGGCCTCTAGACTGGATTGGGCCTTGATGGCCGGTTTTCCCATTTGGCATGGGTGGACACGTGGCGTGTCTATAGTGGTCCGTAGAGGACGTATCTGTGATTGACACGTGGCAGGCTCCTGTTGTCCTTCGTGAAGGACACGTGGCGGAACCTGGTCGGTCCACTTGTCAGAAGGTGATTGGTGGATAAAAACCCCCTAATCATTTGCCCCTCACAGGTGGCACGTGACTGGTCACGGGTCGCCTGTGACAGGTGTCGCACGGTGACAGGCGACGGCCTGTTACAGGTGTCACCTTGCAAACGGCCGAGAGATTTTCCCGCCCAAATTTTGAATTTGGAAGCGACCCTTCGCCTTCTCACTTTGCCTATAAAAGGAAGTGCTGACTTCGGTCATTTTCACATTTGAGAACTTTGCGAGAACATTCGGACCCCTGAACTTGCTCTGACATTTCGGACTTTTTCTGCCTACCGCCTGTTCTGACAAGCCGACTGACCCGAACTTCCAGGACTTCATCAACCGTCACTCGTTCAGGTAACTCAGTTCTCTTACTCTTAATTTTCTTTTTATTTTTTGAAATGGCACCATGGAAGCACACGACACGACCTAAGTTAGTGATCAGCCGGTCACCGGGGACGGCTGAATCTAGGACTAGGAGTGCCGCCTGCCCTTTTCTGGACCCATCTTTGCCCTTTATACAAAGTCCGACTGTATCTGTGTCTATGCAGAACGTGATGGCCAGAACGAAACAGACTGCTAAGATATCAAACTCAGACGGCTCCTCCCAAAGGGTGCTCCTTAGTGAAACATCTGACCAGGCGCCAGATGTAGAACGAGGCGACTGTCAAGCCGATAGTTCTGAGAGAGGGGCCAAGGTGTTCCCTTCCCATCTTACCGTTGACATGTCTAATTTTCCTTCTGCTCCTTCTAAGGGAGAGGAGGCGGGCCCCT